AGTACAAAACATTGTAATGTACATTTAAATATGAGGAACATTAATGAAAACCATCTCTTAATTTTGAGGACTCTTAATAATTTAAGCTAGTGTTTTCTTTCTTCTGTTATCAGGAAGCATATCTTAATTATGTTAGGTGGTTGGAGGTAGTCAACAGGAAACCCTGGACATATCTTTCGTGCTATTTGTGACTCATTCCCAAGGCCTGCCTGGAATCTTGAGGGAAATGGTACTTTCTGACGTATTTGATCCCAAATCACTCGGATTCATGGTGTGAAATGTTACCACCGATCTATTGGGAGCTCGACTGACCTCCTGTAGAACCGAGATATTAACAGTTCATTGATCACTGAATAATAGCCAATTTCGTGTTTGTCAGGTTATTTTTAATGCTGATCAAATTCCAGTCTAAATGAGTCGATGCTGAGACGTTAGATGGTTGGAGGTAGTCAACAGGCAACAATGAAGGCTGATATACTCGGTTATAATGTGAGCGGATTCGATACCTAAGGTTGGGAGCCAAAAAGTCAGCCAAAAGAAACTTCATCATCATAAATATTTTAGGTTATTAGCTAAAATATTTATCACTAAATTACATTTCTTACATATAAACAGTTATTAATTTAATCGATATCTTCATGAATTCATTTATCTTACTATCTTGACAATGAAAGTGATCTTTCTTGAGTATTACAAAAACTGGATGATAATTACTACCGGAGATAAGTTATAAACGGTAAGTAACCATTTATAAGAATATTTCATTTGGATGAAATGAATTCTTTTCAGTTACAGTTTGTTTATGCTTTCGTAAACTTCACGAAGCCTGTGCTATCAAATCAGTAAAGTACGTGGATAATGTGAATTTTTAATTGAATGTTCATCAAATAGGCCAAATCTATATCTTAGCACAAATTATCTGGTCTACAATGTATTTATCAACTTTTGTTAAAACTAAATGACTATAAGAAATCTGTAGAAAGCCTAGGACCTAGGTTAGCTAATCTAAGGGACTTATCAGCAGATTGTATCTACAGTATAAGAACATTAATACTCAGTGTGAATATATATATATATATATATATATATATATATATATATATATATATATATATATGATTTAGCTAGCTACCATTATACTACGGTAAAATAATTTACTATATATTACAACAATTTGGTTGTCAGTATAGTTAGGGTTCAAATAGAATAAAGTCATGCTTCTGAAGCAATCTAATATTGTATCTTAATTCTGATTGATATTTTTTGTCTATCTAAATTGATATATAATTACACAAACCTATGACAAACAAAAGCATTGAACTTAATTAAATTACCAGTTATTCGAACTCACCAAATAGATGGAAAGTTTTCTTGGGTTCGGATGTGGCTTTGTAACAAGGGACAACAAACGAGAAACATTATCACTATGGCTTCTTATGGTTTGTCTGCAACTACCTAATATCATGTCACGTTAACTAACAGGATTTCATTAGTTCTAAGCTCTGAGCAGACGTAACACTGAGCATGATTCAGTATTAATTCCTCTTCCCATCTATTCCTAGACTGAAAGCGATTCTTCTAATGATACTTAAATTGTAAGAGTTTACTTCACCTTTAATGGATAAGTTGTGGGCAAACGAAAAACGTTACAGATTTTAGATTCTTGTATTTTCTCTTAGATATGTTAAGTAATTCTTAACTCCGGTGATTTTATCCAGTATATGTTGCTTTTTTATAAATATTTCATGTTTAAATTCTTTAAAATTTTCTCCAAATTTCGTCAACGTTTTCTGATACTACCATAAACCTCAATTTAAAATGAACACTTTGATGTTTTAGATGAGGGGAAGGGCAGAAACTGGGCAACTTCGATTGGTATTTTTTATCTGCTGTTTACATGCAAAGACTGCTAGCTAAACAAGCATTGTAAAGTCAGAGAGGTACCGAACAGATGTTTTGTCCTAAAGTGGTGCTACTTGGCAATGTTCACCCGCGACCTATATTTACCTATTTATGTTATTTCATATAGTCTAAATAATAAATTACTTGTTTTTCTATGGAGAATTCATTTTGTAAAATGTAATTTGCGTAAAGAAATAAGCTAAAACGTTTCACGTCAGTAGTTAAGGACTTTTTCAAGTGATGAGTGGAAAAATTCATCACAGAGCCGGCTACTGGGAATATGTACACATTTTTATCGTAACGGAAGATGAACTTGTATTAGCGCATTCGGCTTGACCAATGGGATGAATTTTTAGAGCCAGTTAAATGTCGCTGAACCCTAGCCAAGTCATCCAGCAGTCGAGTCATTAAATATCAGTCAGCTGGCCGATTCTCGTCAAGGTTAAGGACAACCAACGCGCATCAGTTAATTGCACGTCATGGCCTGCTCCATGAGGTGGTTGTCGCACTTTGTTCCTTGTACCTACTCCTACCCATATATTTCTGTAATAACGTCATTTGTGTTGTACGGTCATCAAAGCAGCTATAGCACCTGAATGAAACGAAAGGGTAGTCCATGTTAGGTACTAGTCGTGAGGTGTTACTTCGACGTTAGCAGTTTCATCACACCATTCCCGCTTAACTCCAGTATGATCCCAATCATTGGATACAGATCATCTACGTGGGTGATCTACATGTTTTATGAAATTTTAGTACCAGAATTCTTCAACCACGGATTTAGTCAGATATATACAGTTTTAGTACTGTATTTTCAATTGACTGAAGCTAAAAATGTAGGCCATTCATTCACACCTGTTTGGATGACATTATGGTTTCTGTGATATTTATAGGTCATCGGCTCTGCTCTGTATTAGATAGTGGATGAAATCCATTTTAAAGTTGTATTTACAAGTCTGCTCTTAATTTTATTCGGTTTGACAAGGGTTGTTATGAACCGAGGGGTTACAATGTAGTGCGGCGTCGAGTCGCTGTTGATTATGATCACCAATACAGGAAGACTACGTGCCAAATAGCCGAAAAGACCCCCGTAGGCCGAATATCAGAAGGCAGTTGATGGCTGTATTCGAGATGTATTTGTTGGCGATCTCGTGGTATCGAAATAATACCAAGATCATGTCAGGTTACTAGTGGGGTTACTGGGCGTAACCGAATTCGTTCAAAGTCATAATCAACGGAAGAATGTATTTATTTTGGTACAGTTTAATAAACAAATACGGTAAAACAAACCCCGGTACAACTGGTTATAATAATAATTGTTTCCGTTACACCAATTGCGTTCTCTTGATAAAAGTAGGTCACTACAACCCGTGTCCGGTCTCATAAGGATCTGGGGCTTGCAGCGAGTCATGATCTTAAGACGACGGCCCATTGCCGGAAGGTCGCAGCTAAGGGGCTTCGAACCCTCTGGGCTTTAAAACCGGACATTCACTAAGTTAGATACCACCATTTTCACCACAGTATTCACATCCTTAATGGGAACGAAGCTTGAGAACTCAGTTCAGGCTGCAATCCCCGTTTAAAAGGTGACTCGGATATCCTAGAAAAAAATACAGAGGGCAGCTACCCGTGCATATCTAGGACCCCGGGGTTTATCATACAAAGAGCGGCTTGAACAGCTGGACTTCCTTACTCTGTCCTGTCACAGATTAAGGGGAGATCTAATTTTGATGTACAGAATACCGAGAAATGATTGTGGACTAACTTATTCTTTTTCTTCTCACTAGATCGGGACATCTCAGAGAACATAATAGTGAGTAGAAAAACCAAGAACGAACAAAATACCCTCGGCATACAGGTTTTCACACCGAGTCACTAATACTTGGAACCTGCAGTGGTGTCCGCACTTTCGAATGACTCTTTCGAGAGAAGACTGAACACTCACGGAAGCATACTAGAAAAGGAATAACATAAGCCGTAGGCCTTCTGTCCTTATTACACAAATCTGAATCTGAGTCCAAACTATTCTACATGAAAACCGCCTAACAAGACGTAGATATTCAGAGTTTGACAACGCTCTTGTCTGTAACATCTTTTAACCTAAGAATACCGACCCAGTCAAATAAGAAGTCAGGAATGGATGAGTTCGAAGGTATATTTGGACGTTTGTCGATGTGTTGAGTGACGTTTGATCTACACTGTCTAGTCGTTCTAAAAGATGCGCAGTGCGACAAACCTACTCACAACCCGGTGTGAATGCGTGTTTTTGGCGAACCTGACGAGGTCAGCATAAATATCAAAAACTTACGAAACTATTTATTTGGGGTTTTATTTACCTCTGCACCCTCAATTTAAGGGTAGAATTCGTTCAATTTTCTTTCGTTGGAGCTATTGTGACATGTTTTTAAGATGAGGGATAGTTACTTTTACCTTAAACTCGTTTCTTTATATTCTAGATCGAAATAGGTAGTGTCTTAAGAGTAGATAAAATTGTCAAACATATATTGATTACTAAAGATTTTACTAAACTTACTTCCCTATTATTTCGGAATGAATGCAGATAAATATAATGTAAAATAACAACTCTATGAATGAAAAATCAGGATGTGCTGCGGTTTCTTATATCTTTGTTTGCGCCGTATAGATGTGTAAGGTGGCGTCGAGTCGAGGTTGACTATGATCACCACCACAAGATGAGCGCGTACCAGAAAATCAGAAGGCGAAACGAGACTGTAACCAGATTTATTCGTCGGCGATCTCGTGGTATCAAAAGTATACTAAGATCATGGCAAAGGAAATACAAGTGGAATCAATGGGCAAACGTGCGAACGTACAAGGTCACAGTCTACGAAAGAATAATGGAGTAGTAATCGATGTCTTTAGTACAGTTAAACAAACGAGCACAGTAAAACAATCACTGGTACAATTGGTTGTAATATTGATCGTTTCCATTAACCCAATCGCGTTCACTTGATAAAAGTAGGTCACTACAGATGCATTAGTAATTGAATCTAATGTGAGTGTTGGTGGAATTTTCAAACATCGGCTTTAGTGGGAGTTTTGAAATCTTAGTGCATGTAAAACCTCAGGAGTTACCTGTGATGATATCAGTAGGGTGTGTCCAAGGAGGGGCGTGTTTAAGTTCAGATCTCGAAAATTCAAAAGTTTGTTCCCAGGTTGGTTTTTTGTTTGCTATTTATTATCGATCTAGTGGTATTTTCCTGATAAATCCATAATAAGATAACTAGTAATTAGGTATGTTGTATGATTTTCTGGATCAAATCTGACCAGTTGTATTTTGGTTTACCGTAAGGCTTATCTTTAGAAGCTCAGGTTTTGTAGCCTATTTAAAACTACACGTTTGTGCTATGATACTTATCGACTCAGAAACTAACAGCTATTTATATTGTTTGACATTATCGTAAAGTACGATTGTATTCAGAAAAATGGATTTGGATTGCTGATTAGTGTCGTTAGTGTTTTTGAAACAACACATGCTTCGTCTATGTGAACTCACTGTTTCAGTTTGGGAAGGACAGAAGGCTTGATGGCCTATGTTAGTCCTGGCAATGGTGGTCTCTCAGTTGATCCAACTTTCTTTTGAAAGAGTCGACGGATGGAGCCTCAACCACGTGCTGAGGTAGTGAATTCCACTCGTTGATGATTCGATGGGAAAGTCGATAGTCAGCTGACAAGTAATTTGTTCTCGGCTTATGAACTTTTTTGGAGTGTCCTCGTAAATTCTCTGTTTTGGAAGACAAGAAAAATGAGGGCATGTTAGGTGCAAATTTATCACTAAGCAATTTGTAGACTGTAATCAAGTCGCCTCTAGTTCTGCGATATGACAACGGGAAAAGGTTCAGCTTGGCCAGTCGAGATTCATACGGAAGCTTCGCTATTCCGGGAACCAGCTTAGTCGCCGTTCTCTGAACCTTTTCCAGAAGCTCACTGTCTTTTTTAAGCAGGGGCTAGCCGCTTGTATGCAGTACTCAAGTTTAGGACGAACGAACACTGTATACAAAGTCAAAAACGTCTTAGCGTCGACATGACTAAAAGCCCTACGTATTGACCATAACGTTCTAAAACCTTTGGCGGCTATTGCACGGCAGTGTGCAGTAGTCTTTAAGTCTTGACTAACGATAACTCCTAAGTCATTATATGTCTGGACGACAGGTAGCTCAGTGTTATTCATCGTGTATGTATCTGTGCCTTGATGACCGATATGCATCACAACACACTTGGAAGTATTTATCGGCAACTGCCATGTTTGAGACCATTCAGATAACTTCTTCAGGTCATTTTGAAGTTCTAAGCTATCACTCTTACATCGTATCGTTCTCCATATCTTGACATCGTCAGCATATAGCAAGACCGATGATGATAGGAGACAAGGAAGGTCATTTACATACAAGAGGAATAGCACTGGCCCCAAAACTGTACCCTGGGGCACTCCACTAAGCACAGTTTCCCAGCTAGATAACTTTGAGTTCACCCTTACTCTTTGTTGACGCCCAACTAAGAAGTCTTTTATCCACATCAATAAATTGCCTCCAATCCCGACTTTTCTTAACTTATATAACAGCCGGTTGTGCGGAACTTTATCAAAAGCTTTACTGAAATCAATGAAGGCGACGTCTACAGGTAGCTTTTGGTCCTTAAGAGCGCACCAGCTTTCACGAGCCACTAATAAGTTAGTGAGACAAGAATAACCTATTCTGAAGCCGTGCTGCTTCTCCGAGAGGATCCGGTTTTTATCGAGATACTTAAACAGCTCCTTCCGAATAATCTTTTCTAAGATTTTAACAACCACACTAGTTAGGCTAACGGGGCGGTAGTTCTCAGGTTTGTGTTTCGTACCTGTTTTGAAGACAGGACTTACTATGGCGTTTTTCCAATCTTTCGGTAAGCGACCCTGCGTAACGGATAGGTTAAAGCATGTACTTAAAGGGCTTGCAACGAAGTTAGATAATTCCTTCAGTAGCCTAGGATGTAATTCATCGGGCCCCGTGGATTTACCTATGTCAAGCTTATTTAGCAGACCAAAGACATCGAGTTCTTTAATGGTCACGCTATCCAGTGTATGTATGGGGGGATCTGTATACGCTGACGAGAAGGGCGCTTCTATGGTATACACGTTGCTAAAGTAGTTCGAGAACGCTTGAGCCTTACCAAAGTCGTCCTCCACTAATGATGAAGCAGTACTGTCTCCCCATAGAGCAGGAATATTTCCTTTTCTCCTTGTCCTTTGGTTTATATAGGAATACAAGCGTTTAGGACATTCTATGGATTCCTTAACAAGTTTTTCTTCGTACAATTTTCTAGACTTACGGAGGGTCGAGGCACAAGTGTTCCGAGCCTTTCGATACTGAGATTTTGACTCATCAGTCCCCAGTAACCTAAATCTATCCCACATTTTCCTTTTCTTACGGAGAAGGATACGGACCTCCCTACTGAACCATGGTGGTGAGTTTTTCGGCCCCTTTGGTATAGTCCAAGGGATGTGAGGTGTGGTAACTTTTAAGTATGAATTTCGAAATGCGTCCCAGGCCGTTTCAATGGAGGACTCTGGGTCTATTGTCCAATCTATTAACGATGCTGAGTGCATGATGTCTGGTATGTTTGCTTTCCAGACGTTGGGTCTGGACTGGACTGACGCGTCCTCATGACTGGCAGTTATATGGAAGTCGAAAGTTAAAACTGCGTGGTCACTTTTACCTAAGGGTGGCATATGATGGAGGTTCGCAACATCATCCTCATAGTGAGTCAGTATAAGATCTAATAAGGATGATTCAGTGTCCGGATCGTACCTTGTCGCTTCTTTCACATGTTGCACTAGAGCACATGTGATAACCGCATCAACTAGTTCCTGCTCGAAAGAATTCTCCGACGATTTAGTTCGCAGATTTTCCCAGTCTACCATAGGTGCATTAAAGTCCCCTAGGATTAGACATCGACCACTTTGGGACCAAGTATTGAGACTGCTTAACAGGATCTCATTTGCCTCACAGCTTGGACTGCGATAGACCAAACCAATCAGCAGCTCTTGTCCCTTGCATTTTAAGCGAAGACTAACTAATTCACACGTCCCACTCTCATGGGATACACTATCGATAATGGCAAATGGGATAGCATTCCTAATGAATAGAGCTACTCCCCCTCCTTTGCGCTTTTGTGTTCTGTCGGCCCTTACTAACGTAAAACCCTCGAAATCAAGTTCCATACTATCTATAGCCTGTGTCAGCCAGGTTTCTGTTACTGCGATTATATCTGGCTTTGTAGAGTCAATCTGTACACCTAGTTCCGATCGCTTATTAAGTAAGCTTCGTGCATTGGTGTAACAGATCCGAAGCCTGTTTAAGTGCCTTCGTGCTTCACCCAGAGTGGCTTCGGCATCATTCTCTGTCGAAGTCTTACAACCCGAAAATTTACAATTTTCAGGTCCTTTTCGCCAGCGTCTAACCTATGTTGTAGTTCTTTCTCGGCTTCCCGTCTTTTAACACGGTCTGCCAACGGTAGGTCCTTTCGGATAAAGACTCCTGAACCCTTTAATTTGTGTCCATTTTGTAAAATTAGGTCACGTTCGTTCGAAGAGCCGAATACTACTTTAAGCAGTCTGGAATGATTTGGTTTCGAGTCCGCTAGACTCCCTAGTCTGTACACCTTTAGCAAGGTGACCCCGGTCATATTTTGAGGCATGAGTTGATTAAGCAGCTGCCTAATCAGTACAATGTCATGCTCAAAACGAGCTTTAGGTTCAGAGCTCTCGCTCTCCTTGATTCTATGAAAAATAGCTGATCTGTCGCTATGATCAGCTTTCGATTTTTCAACTACTTTACGGGGGCAGGGTTCCCTTTTATATCCCTACTTTTCTTCCTTACAACCTGTACCCATTCGTCAACGGTGCTGGTAGAAGCAATAACAGTTGCGTCAAACCTAGTGTTGGATTTTGGGGGGTTGTCGACGACCTGAGAGGTCGGTTATGTTTACCGCTTGAAACCGATCGAGCCTTGCGATTGCGGCTTCTAGGTGTTTCCTGTTGGATCCCATCTGGGAGACGGGGAACAGAAGACCCTACTTTTCTTGAGCTTTTGTTTAAGGCAGGCCCCTTTGGAGACTGCTTTTCCTTCTTTGACGGGCGTGAGTCATCTATCATCGGACTAACCTTAGTTTCCTTCACGTTGATTTGCGTGTCGACAGATCGAGTGCTGTTTGACGCGTTCCGACTATGCTTGCTAAAACACTTCTTTGCAGCATCAACCAGTGAGATGGCCTCGGTTAACAAGCTGTTTGCATCCGAGCAGCACTGTTGACAAAGCCATACACAACCCTTCTTACTGAACCGTTTGAAAGCAGCAGGCGTTAAGTTCGTGCAAACTTCGTGGTACCAGCCTTTGCACTCGTCGCACTGCATGCCGCTTTCAACAGGATAACGACAACCCGGACGTTGGCAACTGCTTTTTTTACACTGTCCGGTCATTTAGGAGGGGTTCTTTTTCAAGATGCGATGATACTCAGAAACAAAAAAAATAATCAATGACCAAAAAAGTGAAGAGCTGTAGATTGCTAGGACCAAAAGTACTAACAGATACAGTTGAAAAAGAGGTACTCAAGAGTACCAACGACAAAACTAATTGAGAGAACAGTAAAAACGATACTCTAGTCGAATACTTTAACTGAAATAAATTCAATTAAAGTGAAAACAGTAGTCTTGATACGTAATAAACGATCAAAACAAAGAAATTTACTCAGCGAGGAAAAATACCACTGTCATTTTTCGAGTTGATTGTTCGACATAGATTGGCTAGAGGTGTGTGAATTCAGTCAGCAAAGCAAGTAGTGCTAAAGAAAACATAACCTATTCGCTCAAGTAAAGCCAGCAGTTTTGCCAAAGCAATCACTAAGATAATGCGGTTAAGTCAGGCCTATTGCTTCGCGCCTCAACATTATTCCATGTGTGCTCGATTGCTTCAGTAATCAAGTGATTTCTCCTGTTATTTCGTTCGAATTCGACAACTTCCAGCAGAAATTTTGTTCTAATATTCACTTAAGATCAGCAGCTATATAGCGGAGCAGTTAATGCTTCAGTTTGTAGTCATGAACTCAATAACAACAATTAATCAATTGTATAATACTTTTCTCTAGACGTCTACTATTTATTTATTTGAACACATAAGTATTGGTACAAGAGGGAAACAAATATATATGCACCACACAAAACAATGAGAATGGAAAGAAAAAAAGTAAGTGGCGTAAAAGAAAAAAAGAAGAACAATGACGACCAGATTAGTGTAAGGTAGTGTAGTAATAATAATAATGGGGGAAACGGAAAGGTATGACCAAAAGAAATCATTCAGTTAAGGAAGATACAACCACTTTTTATGAAGAAAGTAAAAGCAGGATCACCACTGGCTTCTATTCTGAGCCATATCTGATAACGTCTCTAGCCACTGTGTAGCACCATCTCTCAGACCCCAACCAGGGAGTCGTAAAGGACCAACACAAACCAGTCCTTTGCAGCTTTCTTTCATGCCACGACACCATGTCATACACTGACCACTCTCCGCTTTTTCCAACCAGTTCCAGAGTCGGCACATAATGCTCGACGTGGAATTCTCTGGGACGACATTCGTAGAACATGTCCAAGCCACCGAAGTCGGTGTTTCAAGATGGTGACACCAATTGAATTATCGTCTCTGTGCCCGAAAACACGATGCCGAACCTCTGCATCACAAATAAAATGGAAATGACGACGATTAATATACTCACTTTTCATGATATTTCTAACATCACTAGTCTTTAGACACTAAGGATTGGTTCAAGTTTGCACACGAACGATTATATTTGCTTTAATTCTAGTCATGTGGATTGTTTTACTTCAGTTTGAAATAACGGATACATTATTAAGAAGCGATCTAAAAGCTGATATAAAAATAGAATTGGTATTCTTTAGCTTATCCGTCTTGGTGTATTTTTATGTTTACGAAAATTGGTAAAACTCCCATCTCTGTAAGTCATCAGATCTAACGTCTAGTGGTATATTTGTATGTTTAGCTTAACCACTATTATTTTTGTAGGCAAGTTGCCGTCGTGTTGCGAACCATTGTTCAAATCTTCTTGATGCAGTGCTAATATTCAAAACGTGGTTCATTCAAAGGCAAAGCGATCTTCCATCCACAACCTCTGAGATAGATATTAAATCCAATGGTGAAGGTAGTATCCTACCCTATAATAACATGACTAATGGTCAGCACCCAGTTTTACACAATCAAATAAATCAACATTCAAGTTATGTTGAACGAGATTGGGTGATGATGCATACTAAAAGAACAGAAGGTCAGTTAAATCGTCTCCGAAATTCGGTTGTGAGTATGCGTGCTCAGCTTCAAGCTGGACTTCGCCATAAACTAGAGTGTGAACAGTTGCGAAGGGATTTGGAAATGCACAAAGTATGTACATTGTTATGTGGGTAGATGACAGCGGTGTTGCCCTAACTATCAGTTTTTTCTCTGAATGTTTATTTTTCTCATTAAAAGCTTATATTCGGATTGTTAAAATCAAGTCAAATCACATTTAATCCGTATATTAATGAGACATTTACTACTTTTATTTTTCTAGTTTTGTAATTTTGCTCAGTTAATCGATCTTATACAGACAAGCTTTCACATGGTAATTGTTAAGCAGGTAACACCGTGTAACCCGTTATTAGCTGTCACTTGAATAAAGGTTGATGTAGTCATTTCTAAGTTTAAAAAGTGCCAGTCACTTATGAATTAATCAAAAGCTAAGTATAACTCTGAAATAACTATGTTTAAATTGATGATGCTTATCCGCCCCTACATTGATAAAGCTTTCTATCCCTCCCCGCTTTCCTCTTCCCAAATCCTGTCATCCAACAATATTAACTGTAGTAAAAATGACAATTGTTTATTATTATTTAAAGGTGAATATAAAGGATAATTTGTGCTGTGATCATCTTATTAACAATTACTTCTAGTAACCATGCTTATTATTGGGCAAGAGTTTAGGGATTCTTGTTATTATGCATATATATAACTAGAATTAATTGTATTAAGGCTTTTATTATCAGCCAAATCATTAACTTTTGTAAGAGTATCTATACCCATATGCCTTGGTACTGCCGAGTGTGTAGTGAGTCCACTCTCACATGGTCACGCGTATTTAGCCACTGTTAAGAAAGACCTACTCATTGCCTTCTCGCGGCGGGAATGTTTACGAAATTGAGGGAGCGAAAAGTGAATGTCCGGCAGTCAGTCAGTCAGCTACAACGTAGGACAAGGCACATTTGTGCATCGATCCAAGTTGCCACACCTCGTTAACATGACAAGATGGACACCGTATTCATAAAAGTAGTTAATTCGGAGGTGGTAACATATAAAAGAAAGATTGCAATAGGGATATAGTACACGAAGAAAGAACTAGTTCGTAGAAAGAAAGATATGAAGCGATTTTAATCTCTTAGTTTAAGGGAAGACAGAGAGTGTATATACCTACGTCACTGTGATCGATTCTGAGCCATGTCACCAAGAGTCTCCAACCATTGGTTACGATAGTCACGCAGACCCCAACCAAGTAGTCTGCATCTATCAACATGGCTCAGACTAGAAGTTAGTGACTTCAAGCACTGATGCCACGTTTTGGTTTGGCTGCCCCTAACTTTCTTCCAACCATCCCGAACACCGGTTAGCATTGCACCTCGTGGTAATCGGTGTTCGGGCATACGTAACACGTGACCCAACCATCTCAGTCGATGAAGATTCACAACCTCATCAATTGATTTACCATCATTCCGTAATACCCTGCGTCTAACCGAACTATTACTTACCCGGTGATCCCACCAGATGCGAGCAATATTTCTAAGGCATCTGTGGTCAAATACTAGTAGCTTACGAGTGTCTTCTACTTTTAATGGTCATGTTTCGCTGCCGTAAATTAAAACAAAACGGACTGCCGCGCAGTATACTCGTCCTTTTATTGATAGACGGATATCTCGCCTTCGCCACAGGTGACGTAAGTTGGCAAAAGCCAAGCGAGCATTTCGAATCCGTGCTGAGATTTCGTCAGACACCGACCCATTAGGGCGGATCAGACTTCCAAGATAAGTGAAGTTGTCAACACGTTCGACTACTTCACTGCCTATCCTTAGTTCAGGTTCAGGTGTTGACGCAGACCAGTCCTGAAGCAGCAGCTTGCATTTAGAGGGAGAGAAGCGCATTCCAAACATTCTGGCATTGTTGCTCAGTACTACCAGAAGACTCTACACTTTATCAGCGTCTTCACCAAACAGGACTGTGTCATCTGCGTATTCTAAGTCGATAAGTGGACCTCCTGGAAGAAGATCAATACGCGAGAATTCAGTAGACTAGAATGTTATTTCCATCAATAGGTCTATGATGAAGCAAAACAAAAATGGAGAAAGTGGACAGCCTTGACGGATACCACTTGAGGTTGCGAAAGCAGATGACAGTTCGCCATAAGCTCTGACTCGATTGGTAGTGTTCGAGTAAAGAGCCTTCACAAGGTTTATGTACTTCTGAGGTACGCATTTCAGTTTCAGACATTGGCACAGAATCTCGCGGTCTACCGAGTCAAATGCTGCTTTTAAGTCGAGAAAGACCACCATTGTCGACCGCCGATAAGTATGCCTGTGTTCTAGAACCTGACGAATGGTGAATATGTGGTCGATGCAGCCACGACCAGGTCTGAAGCCAGCTTGATTCTCTCGTGTTTGCAGTTCACGAGTCTTAGTTAGGCGTCTGATAATTATCGAGGCTAGTATTTTAGATACTATATTAGTTTGTTGCAAATCTGAATCATTTCTTTGAAGTTTTCGCTGATTACTTATTAATGAAATTATGATGACCAGACATTATTGATGGTTTTCACAGTAGGAATCTCTTTCAGAAAACTGATACTTATGTATTTAGGTGACCTAATCGTGACGGCTTTAATCTCTAATGATATACTTAACTTGGTTTATAGTTAGCGGTTTTTGTTTCATTCCAATGATGTAACTACATTCAGATATAATGTATCGAAGTATGGATGTTGTATCATGCTAAAGGGTTGTACACTATCTAACTATGAAATAGTATTCATTATGATTATCTTTACTTACCACTATCTTATCGATTGCTAATCACCTTCCCTACTTTTTAAAGCTTTTGGATTTAATGATAGATATTCTAGCTTAGGTTGACTGATTACCTTCATTGATACAGAGGTTTTTGGAAGCTAATTAATCGACATTAGCAAATTCGATTTGTCAGGTAATTTTATCTAAGATTGATCTGAATTTATGAATCATGTGTTAGTTTTAAAGCATCGTAAATGAGCATATATCAAACACATATCGAATGAAATTTGTGTGGAGATTTGGTTCCTCCTTGTACCAATATCTATGTGTTAAAATAAATAAATAATAAATGAGCATGTAAACATTTAATTTACTTTCTATTTACCGTTCTGGATAGGATACAATATCTCACTATCAGAATATCATCAATGAAGGTAATCGGCTTCGCGATGATTTAAGAGAGGAACTAGTTCGTGTTCGAAAAGAAGCTGCTATTGCTCGATCACGGTTAACTTCAGCGACAACTCAACGTGCTGTCAACAGTCCAGTTACTAGTACCCCGCATGCTCCTAATCATCATCCCGTCGATGAAGTCGATAAAATGGCTACAACAATGATGGTCATGACCAATCATACAGAGCATAGTCAATTACATGATCTACCGCCTCAAGATACTATAATTCAATTACGAACGCAAATAGAACATCGTATTAGACTGTCCGAGTCTCTGAAATCTGAAGTTAAAAACCTAAGAGAAACAATAAGAGGAATGCTTGAAAAGGTAACTTGATTTATCTATACTATCATTATTTTCTGATCAGTTATTATTTAACAATAATAATGATAGGAAGTTTCATTTAATCTATAACTATATACTTTACATTTTTATTCTTTTGGAGGAATTTTTAATGATTAATTTGTAATGTATGTACCATTTTTGAGTTTATCTGACAATTAGTTTTTTTATTTATTTGAATGAGACTTGTTCGTCTATATATACCTCTTGTTTTTGAAATGATCTGTTTTTGGATCAGGATGGATCCTAGTGGCGCAAATATATTCACTTTTTATCTTCCTCTGGATCTTCAGTTCCTGTATTCCTTCATAAGTATCTTTTCGAATATTACTTTGGTCTTTCTGATAATCGTTGTTACTACATTATTTTGAATTCTTTACTAATAATCTTGTTAATTTCGCTTTATAATGCTAATTTGATATGGAATTCGGGCCAGCACACATCTATACCAGTTTCTACGTTGACTGTAACTCAAACTGATGTTAAAATTTAGAACTCTTCGGGAATATAAATTTTACGGCTCAATATGATGTATTCTCAAGCAATGATAAGTAGTTTTTATGTAAACGTACAAGGTGTTACACTGTAAACGTTTTGTATTCTGGAAATTTAGTTAAAATTCGTTTCTTCATTTTAAAATGTTGCTTAGTCTGTTCGTACACAACACTTAACATTCCATTAATTTAAAGGAATTCATCGTATATTCAAGATTAACTGCTTAGTAGGCATTACTTTTTGTGTGTGGTGGCTTTGTAATCGGGCCGTTAGTGTTTAAACCACCAAGCCCCTGATTCGAACCCCACCTCCTATATCCGGTTAGTACCATTAATCCCCTCATTTAGAGTGTGACTTGAATCCAGATGCTTCAATCTGTGCCTGGTAAATGAGTCAACTCTATCCACTCATTCTATCATTAGCTTTTTTTTCCTTGGCATCATTTTTTCCCAATATTAACAATTTTACTTCATGTTTACTGTTTTTATACTGTAGGAACTTGCTCAATCTCATATTATTGACTCAATACGAACAGAATTTAAAACCTTAATTGAACCTTTTTGGCGTTTACTACAAAGGAATTATGATTTAAATCAAATGAAATTATTAAATGCAATATTAAATATCCACTGTATAACACGGATAGCCAAACTACTTACTATTCCAATTCCTGACCATGTAACTATGGAATTATCTCAATTCACTGACTGTGATCCGGTTGTTGCAGATAGCAAATCTCAGAAGTTTAATAAAAAAGCCTCAAAGCCAGTGAATAATTCTACCCTAACTAAATCACCGAAAAAAATTTTTAACGAATCGAATGGAAACATTCATCTAATTAATTCTCTAGCTAAGCCTTCAACTGATCAAAAAGCTTTTGAAGTGCATAGCAGTTCTAATGAAACTTCTACAGTTAAAAGTGTCAAACTATCTATCGGTTCAAATAAAGTGGATTTGGATGAACCTGGTCAAGATGAAATACTGAAAAATGGTTCACCTTGTGAAATAGATAAAGTAGAATGTGAGTATTTATACTTATTTACCCTTTATTTATTATCAGATCAAAGTATGATGTGATTTTGAACTTTTGCTGTATATCGCATTGTTTTACGAATTATGATTTCATGAATAAAACTTGGGTGAACACAGTACTGGTTGAAAGATGGAATACAATGGTATGATTTGACCGAGATCTGTTTATTAACTCAGACTCTAGTGAACTGATGCTAAAGACAAGGCTGTTAGTCAGAAGGTTAGGTTTTTTCACTCAATAAAATAGCATGAATAAATTTCATAGAAGACTAAAGGATATCGACTTTATAGTTAGGCCACTTCGCCAATAAATTAAGACCAGACTTCTAGTCTTGAACCTTGCTCATCATATCACCTCTCCCACGAAATAATATGAGATCTGTCTGTCGTAACAGCAAGAAAGTGAAACTTTCGAATAATTTTGTGGAAGTCATGTTTCTGTCCCTTTTACAGGTTGAAACCAGATTATAGTTGTCTATGTAAGTATCGGGAGCGAATAAAATCTTTTTTTTTTCGTTCGTGATCATCATAGCAGTTTTGTTTCATGTTTGTGAAACCTAGTCTCTTCGATTTGAAGATGCTAAGCAACTCTCTGTGTTCAGTCATCGTCGTCTCTAAAGGATTACTGACAATCAGTCGCGAAGCCACATCAACAATGGGGGTCGATAAGGTGTGTCTGGGCACAGCGATGACAATTCATTTGGTTTCACCGTTTTGGAACACTGACTTCAGTGTCTTGAACATGTTTTACGAATATCATCCCAGAAGATTCCACATTATGTATTATATGATGACTCTAGGACTGGTTTGAAAAAGAGGGGAGGTGGTCAGTTTGTGGTACAGTGCCATGGCATGAATGAAGACCGTATATGGCTGTCATCTGTTGATCCTTCATTACTCCCTAGTTGGGGTCCCAGAATTAGTGCAACATAGTGGCTTGAGATGTTATCAGATGAGTCAGAATCGAGCTGAGTGGCACTCCTGTAATTTTCTTTATAAAAGTAAGAGAAATGTCTTTAAGTTAGAGGACTCCTGGTTGTATTTTTCTTAACAGAACTGGTTTTCCCACTGTTTACAACTTTTAACCACTTATTTTTATTCATTTTTTAAAAATCATCCTGACCTTCCTCCTATTTCTTCATAATCTTATTTTCTGGTTATGCAGTACATATTTCGGTGTCCATTTGTACCAGCATTTGTGTTTAAATTTATAAATTTATAAAACTGGATTATGGACATAAAATTTAAGATAGTCCTTTTCTATTTCCTGGTTTTCATAATAAAATAAGTCCATACTTTTATCTATTTTCTCCTGTATAGGATAAACATCGCATCACATTGGTCTGTAGACCATTCAGTTTGGATATTATTACATTAACTACTTTAAGATTGTCATCTTGCCAAAAAACTGGTTTTCTGGGTTTTAAAAAAATTTTAAGGAAACTTATAATATTTTTGTTATTAGAGAGAATAGATCAAAAACCAACTACTGAAAATTCAGGAATTATAAACTGTGGCTTCATCTTATCGTGAACTTATTTAAGGAGTGTGTATCCGTAAATTCTTTCATATTAAATTGGAAGATTAATCGTTTTTATGATATCTACTAGACGACTGAACAATCGACAAAGAACCCATTAATTAATATCTGGAAATGTTGCTAAACTTATAATGGGGAATAAAACGTCTCCAATTAAATAAAACTATGAGATCGAATTGAACATATCTTAAGTATTTCAATAAGAACTTCTATTCTACTCAGTTAATACTTTCATATTATTGTTAGCGTTTACGTTACGATTAGTCCTTGCGTTTAATGTGTTTTTGGGCATTCAGATTTCTACCTCATGGATTTTGGATTCGAATTGCTCCCACCTACTGAGATTCAAATAATCAGTCACTATTATTAAATGGAATACAAGAGATACGTAGCTGTATAACATTCTACAAGAATCTATACGTGGTTATTGAATTGTATTCATTTATTTTCTCTTCAGCATATATCTTGCTGAGTTTATTTTGTCCCTTTATTCCTCAAATAAGAAGCCCTGCGAAATTTCAATAGTTATTATTAACATTAGATGTTTACATTAGAAAAATAATATTTTGTGCATATTCATAATAACAATTTGTTTATGGGAAGCTACGATGTCACGAAGACAAGTGATGAGGAACCTTTTTTAAAAAAGGCTAATAAACCTTCAAGTTTTATGGCAAGCTTGTCACATTTAAGACATTCCTAAATTCAAAACTCAGTCGTCCACGTTTTCAAATTCAACTGATTTTCAATATATCGCTATCTTCAGCGTGATATATCTGTATTAGTACTCAGGCCTGTAGATCCTTAGTCTGATTCCGTGTGTATAATTATGAGTGTACATCACTCCAGGTGGCAAGTTGCAAACTAAAACAAGCTTACCCCATTGTTACAGGTACAGGTCTATGTATTTGGTTTCTGGCCACATTGTTTTCTGGTTAGTGAATAATACTATTTGGTTGTCTAGATCGTAGTAATTGGAACAAGGTTCAAATCTGGGACTTGATGGCTTACGATCAAACTCTTTAACCACTGAGTCAACGCCCCACAAAATTGTTTAGATTTAACAATCTCCACAAAACCAATATAAATGAGTACGTTTCCTAGGTGATAAAGATGTTTCTATGATGTGTTCTCTGAGCTAGACGGCCTAGTCACGGAGCTTTTGATGTTCAAGACGGCATAATCCTTACTTCATATTGTTTTTTGGAGTGGGAGAATCACCAAGGAATATATATATATATTGCACTGTTAGAAAATAATTAATATTATTTTATTTACTTTTCGTTCATATAGTAATGTCTGATTACTCATCAAGTGAGAGTAGTAGGTGTGGTAGTTTGAAATTTCCTGATATATCTCCCTCCTCTTCTGATCATGATGACGATGGTGATGGTGCTTTTAATAATAATGACAAAAGTAAAAGTTTGAATGGTAACAATCATGATGACGACAATAATACTGGTAATGATAATAAAGATTCACAAGAGTCTTCTAAAGATATATTTGAGGATCAAAATGTAATTATTCAATCCCCTCTTCGTCAATCGAGCATCACAACCGATGAATCAAATGGTCTCAAGGGTAAATCAGTAAATATTAGTTCACTGTCTTGTTATGAAACTTCTAACAATGATTTTAATTCCTCTGTGATTCTAAAAGATATTCAACCTGCTGAAAACACAGTTTCTGGCTTACAATCAAAACATGTTAAAAACAATTCTCAGGTATTAAAGGAAGATCTAATCATTTCGGAAGTGTCGTCAAGTGAAAATGTTACGGATAATAATAAAGGTATATAAGTTTTCTAAGTTATTTTTTTCGTCACTCCCTTAATGTGTGAATAATTCCCGGTTATTATTTTGAAGGATCATTCAATATAATACAAAAACTAACACTTTATTTTGTCTGTTTGATAAAAAAGATTTTGTATACGTTTTCCTTCTAAGATTTTAAGTTTAATAGAAAGCATTTTTTCTAAACATTCAAAATGTTCTGGAATTAATAAAAATTAAAACTCTGGGCAGGATATGCGTTTACTCAATGCTTGTGTGACGATGCTTGGATTGCATGCGGATATGAAGTATTCATATGTTGTTTAATGCGTGTAGTTCACGTGTGGACAGATGCAACGATAAGTTTACCTCTTGTATGATACTTATATACGATTGTGCCTATGAAATGATAAGTATTATGACAAAAATACTCGAATTTCAAGCACTGGAAGTTGGTTCGAACTCTAGCTTGGACAGCTAAAAATCAGATGTATGCGAGCAGTTTTCAATTCGCGTTTGTCCACATTGTGGAACAATGTCTTCTTGAGGTATTTTATCAGGAAAATAGTTTAGTGGGAGCCCTAATGACTCGAGAGAGTGACGGAGAGCCCAAGAGACAGCTTTTATGGGCTCGCCACACAATCTTCTCGGGAGTGTAGCCTTTGGTGTGCTAGTGGCATATTTTCACTTGTGTTGAAAATCTACTGAAGAACAGTAATTTCGCGCATATCAAATGTAGAAAATGTCTATAAAACGCTTTATTACTAAATGAAGCAAGTTGAATGATTTACTTATCATATAAAAATAATGCTATAGTGTTTCTTAATAATAGTATAAACTAATTGCTTACTAGTTAAAATAATTGGGTTTCAAATGTCAGGTTAAAATTTCGAACCTAAGGACACTGTTGTTGCAGCCAATTAATATTTCTAGCCTTCACATAAAATGTGCTGCCTAAATCATAATAGCAGCTAAACCTGTAGTTTGTCAATAAATCACGTCACATTATTATTCTATTAAAAAAAGAAATTAAATCAATATTTCACTTATTTTCATGCTTCAACTACACGACAACTTTTGTATCTTTATCAATATCACTTATTCTATGCCTCAGTCGTTTTAAAATTATGTTAATCGTGCGGTAGCAGTGTGGCATTAAAGGTGGTCGAATTTATCTTTCCAAGTGTAGCTTCATAAAATTATACTTCCTGTTTTATTATCATTAATTCCTTCCAACTATAGGAAAATTATGGATGGATGTAGGGTTGGGGAGAATGTTGGATTCTGTTGTTTACATCACAGACTGACTTTAAACAATCATTGTAGACTAAAGAGCGCTGGATAAAAGTCTCTTCCTAGTATAGGGTTTCTCATCAGTGTTCATCGCGAAATACGAAGGTCCTAGGTTTGATCTCCGGGTGGAGTCGTGGATGAGTTCTACAGAGGATTCCCATACTAGGATGAAATGGCTTTTTAGTGCTTTGTGGTTTTTAATAGTTATGTAACTAAGGCTATTCGATAATGTAAATTACAAAATTTAAGGTAATTAGTTTAACCAAACATGATTATTAGTACTGTAGTGTAAATTCTTTTGTTTTCATGTTTGTCATTTAATGAAATAAGAGGTGTTCAACAAGACTTTTTTTTCTAGGTGAAAATGAAGTAACAAATTGTTCCGATTCAAAAACATTAAACTCCTCTTGTATTCCAAAATCTTCCGAAAAATCTCATAAAATGGTCACTCGAAGTAAAATGAAAAATAATTCTCAAATAATTGATTGTTCACCGAATACATCATCTTTTCACTCTAATGATAATTTTTCACTTGATCTATGTGAGAAATCATCAGATTCAAAAGCTAAATTGATTTTAGAGGAAACATCATATTTGAAAACGTCAACTAAACCACTTGTACAACAAATAAAGAAATTAGAAAAGCGCTCTAAAATAAACGTAACTTTAGATGATAATGTTCCCTCTCGTGTACTGACCTGTCCTTCGACGCTTTCTCGTGGTTCCAATTGTCCTGCATTATCATTATCACCATCACTTAAATCTGATGTTCAACTATTTTCATTATTATCAGATAAGTATTCATCTGATATTTTACAGTGGTGTGATAGGCTGTGTTCATCATCTTTCCTGAATGACATTCCAAAAATCTGTTATAGAAGTCAAATGTTATCTACTTTGACTAATTCTAAGACTCAGCTTCAAGTCCCTGTCATTGTCGAAGCTCGCCAAACTCATTCCAGTCCGATAAAAAACAAACAACTATGTAAGCTGAATGATGAAAAAATAATTCGTAAAAGGAAGGTAACCAATGAATCCCATTGCGGAAAAAAAATAGTACTTGATTGTTTATCCACTGATGTGTCTTTACCGGAGGCTGCAAATCATATGATTACTGATAATAGAAAACCAGATCACCAATATGCCGAGATAAAACAAAAATGTATTAATTTCCTATTATCAACCAGAGATTCAATTAAAAAAGCGCCAACGATTTATCTAGTGAATTAAAACAAACGAATATGCCAATGGAAATTATTCTATCTTCACTAAATACTATTTTAACTTCAGTCAATTATTCAAATTGTTCTTTACTTTTAAAATCAATGGATGAGAAATTTGTATCTTTATGTCATGGTATAAGTGTTGATCATCAAATGGAAATGTTGCATTGCTATCAACAATCTACTCAATGGTTACTTAATACCTGTAATAAATTCACTGAAATAATTCAATATTCGATTGCTTGTGGTGTTATTTTCAAATTATTATCTACTAATTTAGATCTTGTTCAAGTAGAATGGTCTAGACAATTTTTAATTCAATATCTGAGTCATTTATTTCATCAAGCATTTACACAACAAGATTTTGCTTTATATTTAATGCCACATATAATAGATAATTGTTTAATTGCATTTCCTAATTTATGGTGTAATGTGGAATTAATCAAAAATGAATTTGAATTTCATTCGCGTACTCCAGCGGTGGTTGATAATAATGATCACTTGTCATTTTCCTACATAACCACTACATTAAAAACATTATTAGCTTGGCAGGAAGCACGAGAAGCACGAAATGCCTGTTTAAAATCTGATGTTCAGTCTAATTCTAACCAGGTAGCTGTTTACCGTAGACTTCGTCAAAAAGGTTGGCTACCAGCTAAAGCATCCGAGTCTTCAGCACCTATTGAGATGCATAATTTTGCATTCTCTCAACAGACTCATCGTATTCGCCGTTTATGTCTTGAACTGGTAGATACATGTTTAAATGTGTGTCGTGATCATATCACAGATGATTCTTCAACACATGTGACGATATTGCCTAAGACGGTGGTTGATTCAGATATTATTTACTCCTTAAGATTGATTCTATCTGCAATGGCTTTTGTTGTTGGTGAAGAGGCAATGATCGGTTTCCATGATGAACAACCTGCCAGTGTTTCTTCAAGATCTAGAAATCATCAACGTACACGAAGATATCGACAAGTGGAACGACACCGACAGCATGGTTTGTTAGGTTGGCTTCTCACGGGTCGACTACTTCCATGGTTAACAAAATGTTTGAAGTGAGTCTGATTAACTAATTAAAGTGGTACAATAAAATTTTCAAGTCATACTTTTCATATTTTCCTGTATACGGTCAAAATAAATCATTATATGTGAATAATTCCATTTTTATAAATCATTAAAAAGCTTTTATCTATAAATCAGTCCTGTTATTGTATGTCTAATGAATTTGTAAGCTGTACCTCTATTATGAATTACTGATCTTTGAAAATTCATAAGTAAATTAGTCAGTCATTAGCAGCTTAGAATTTGGCGAATGAGTGGATCGGCTCAAGTTGCCACCAGCATATCAACACAGTGAGATGAAGTTGTCAAGATAAATTTTAGTCACATTATTAGAAATAATAGTGAAAGTGATTGAATAATAAACAATGAATTTGTGAGATCTCAAAGTGCAAATTAATTTTAAAAGTGAAAATGTAATGGGAGATGAAGAGTGAGTGTATCTGGACCTTTGTGAGATATTCTGAACCTCTGTGTCACCTATTGTCTCTATCCTCATCTTGGTAGTCTGCATTTATCAGCGCACAGTAAACAGTTATCGTTAGTTTTACTATTAAGAATAAGGAGATACTAGATAGTCTCACTTGCTTCAGTGAAGCTTGTTGCTCTTACTGGCTTAAAGCTGACTTTTCACTATTTGGTGTTCCAGTGCTCAGTTATACGCGGTTGTATCAAGAAAATCAGCTTTTTCAAGATATAACATCTGGCGACGGGTTATTGTATCAATATGTCATTTACCTTGGAACAATTTGAAGCCTTATTGGAACGTCAAGAAAAGTTCCAGATGCGCATGCTAGAGATGCTAACTCAGAAAATGAACCTGGATCAAAAAGAAGTTACAGATGATCCCTTCAAATCTCATGTTGACCAGATTGTTAATTCTATCCATGAATTTAATTTTGATGGTTCAGCTGGCATTACTTTTGAAACTTGGTTCAAGAAATATGAAGATTTGTTCAAGGTCGACCTCAAAAAACTTGATGACGCCGCTAAGGTCAGAATACTCTTGCGAAAACTTGGAACTGTTGAACATGAACGTTACAGTAACTTTATCCTTCCAAAGAATCCAAGAGATTTTTCTTTCGATGCAACGATTGAAATTTTGTCGCAAATCTTTGCTGAACAGTCATCCTTGTTTAATATTCGTTATCAATGTCTCAAGATGACAAAAGCAGGTGATGATGACTGGGTGAAGCATGCGGGTCTAGTAAACCGTGAATGTGAGCGCTTCAAACTATCAGCAATGACAGAAGACCAGTTTAAGTGTCTCGTATTTGTGTGCAGCCTCCAATCTCCCGAAGATGCCGATATTAGAACTAGAATTTTGAGTAAAATTGAACAATGTCCGAATATGACACTACAAGAAGTAACCGCAGAGTGCCAGAGATTGGTAAACCTAAAGCATGACACTTCGATGGTCGAAAATAATGGCCAGTTGCCATACGTTCGTGCTGTAAGCGGAAAGAACGATTCTCGCTCAAGAAAGGTATCGCACACAGATAATCAGCCTTCATCTCCATGTTGGTCTTGCGGTGGTTGGCATTATAAAAGGTTCTGCCCATATAAAGAACATTGTTGTAGCAAGTGTCATCGCAAGGGACATAAAGAAAACTGCTGCAGAAAAAGAACCCATAAACGACATTCTTTGAAACCCTACTCGAAGAAATACAGATTTAGTGCTCGAACTAACAAAATATTGGTATCACATAATCGAGCACGAATTTGCCGCCAAAGAAAGTATGTAACTTGGATATAAATAAAAAGCGTGCCCGCCTGCAACTCGACACCGCTTCTGACATCACACTTATTAGTCGGAGAACTTGGAATCTTATCGGTAAACCACAGGTGCTCCCAACGACCCAGTTAGCTCACAGCGCATCTGGAGGAAAACTAAATATTGTTGGAGAGGTTTGTTGTACAGTCTCGAAAGGAAATGCGAAAACGAATGCAACTTTATATCTTACACAGAATCCAGGACTAGATTTGCTAGGTCTAGACTTGATAGAAGCACTTCAATTAGCAAATCACCCCATTAACCACATATGCAGCGCAGTGAGAACCAGTAAACCGGTGGAAAAGGATCTGAAGAGTGTTGTATTGGAAAGACACAGTCAAGTGTTTATGGAAGAGTTGGGGGAATGCAAAAAGGTTAAAGCACTATTGATTCTTAAACCGGGAGTCACCCCCGTCTTCAGACCAAAACGTCCGGTACCTTATGCAGCGCTACCTATTGTTGAACAAGAATTAGAGCGTCTGCAAAGAAGTGGAATAATCGAACCAGTAAACTTCTCTGATTGGGCAGCTCCAATAGTGATTGTTAAAAAGCCTAATGGAAGTATCCGGTTATGTGCAGATTATTCAACTGGATTAAATGAAGCGCTTGAAGCCCATCAATACCCATTGCCGGTACCAGAGGATTTATTTGCGAAACTGAATGGGGGTAAGTATTTTGCGAAATTAGACCTATCAGACGCTTATCTACAGATTCCGGTAGCGGATGAGTGTAAGCATTACTTGACAATAAACACTCACAAGGGATTGTTCCGATATAACCGACTTCCTTTTGGAGTAAAGACCGCCCCTTCAATCTTCCAACAAGTTATGGACACTATGTTACAAGACATTCCTGGTACCGCGGCTTATCTCGATGATATATTGATCATGGGTACAGACTATGCTGATTTAGAGAATAAGGTGGATACGGTTCTCAGACGCATAGCAGATTATGGATTCAGGCTGCGTGCCGAAAAATGTGATTTTTACATGGAGCAAGTCCGGTATTTGGGATTCATAATTGATAAAAACGGGAGAAAACCTGATCCTGAAAATGTCGAAGCCATTAAGTCCATGCCTCCACCCACGGATGTGTCAACTTTACGTTCTTTCCTGGGAATGGTTAGTCATTATGGAGTTTTTCTGCCAGATCTGCATCGCCATCGTGCTCCTCTTAATTGCTTATTGAAAAAGGATACTAAATGGTTCTGGTCAACTGAATGTCAAGAAGCATTCCTAAAACTGAAGCAGCTTCTGTCATCGAACCTTCTCCTTACACACTATGATCCCGATCTTCCAATTATAGTCGCAGCCGATGCGTCGAACTACGGAATTGGAGCAGTAATTTCACATGCCTACCCTGACGGTTCTGAGAAAGCAATCGCTCACGCTGCGAGATCACTGACTATGACTGAAAGAAACTACAGTCAAATAGAGAAGGAAGCCCTCGCGATTATATTTGCTGTAAAAAAGTTCCACAAGATGTTGTTTGGTAGGCAGTTCACCTTACTTACAGACCATAAACCTTTACTGACAGTTTTTGGATCTAAAAAAGGCATCCCGGTATATACAGCAAACCGGCTACAGAGATGGGCTACCACACTGCTGGGTTATGATTTTAAGATAAAGTATCAACCAACAACGGATTTCGGACAGGCAGATGCACTCTCAAGATTGATTGGTCTGCATGAAAAACAAGAAGAAGAGGTGCTTGTAGCTGCTATAGATGTCGAGGCCGAGGTTCACAAAATATTGTCAGACGCAGTTTCCGGACTCCCGGTCACATTTGAAGCCATTAAAGAGGCCAGCAAGAAGGATAATGTATTAAAGATTGTTCGCCATTGCATACTCAATAAATGGCCTTCATCTAGATTACACGGAGAACTCTTACAATACTTTCGTCGACGAGAGTCATTAACAGTTGTCGATTCATGTATAATGTTTGGCCATCGTATCGTTATCCCCAGAAATCTTCGACACCAAGCCATTAAACAGTTCCACAGCGGGCATCCAGGGATAAGTAAAATGAAGTCACTAGCTCGTAGCTATGCTTACTGGCCGTCAATGGACCATGAGATAGAGCAAAAATGTCGCAGCTGTTGGTCTTGTCAAGAGGCTGCAAAGAACCCAACGAGAGCTGAGCCACAACCATGGCCTAAACCGGACGGGCCTTGGCAAAGAATACATGCTGATTTCGCCGGACCGATACAAGGCAGGAATTACTTAGTTGTTGTAGATGCTTTCACAAAATGGCCGGAAGTTTATGACATGCCGAATACGACTTCAGAGAGTACCATAAGAAGATTGTCAGGATTGTTTGCCTGTTTTGGGGTTCCAGAGATCTTAGTGACCGACAATGGTACTCAGTTCATGTCATCCGCCTTCAAACGCTTCTGCAACGAGAATGGCATATTGCATCTACAATCTCCTCCATACCATCCTCAGTCGAATGGCCAGGCAGAAAGATTCGTGGATACAATTAAAAGAGCTCTGGTCAAAGGGGGAGGTGAGGGTGTCCCGGAACAAGTGATTAATAAGTTCTTGATGTCTTACAGAGTTACCCCTAATCCGGCAGTACCAGAAGGAAAGTCTCCGGCCGAGTGTATGTTCGGAAGAAAAATCCGGACAGTTTTTAACAGTATGTTGCCGCCCAGAAAGACAAATAAACCCACGAATGAAAATCGTAAGGTCAATCGTAGCTTCCAGGTGGGTGAGAAGGTACTTGTCAGATCGTACCAAGGTAATAAGAAGTGGGAACCAGGTGTCATAGAACGTCGAATCGGAAATGTGTTGTACCTAGTCCGGAAAGATGTCGGGAAATGCATAAGACATATAAATCAAATGCAAAGAAATGATAGTACAGTGGTCACAGAAAACCGGCTTCCATTTCAATTGCTCGTAGATTCATCCCCGAAGAACCATCATGAGCGCAAATATCGAAAAGACAAACGACGCAGAGAGAAAGCTGTACAACCCTCGAGAGTAATGGAGCGCAAGAGGAATGCGACACCCAAGCTTCAGGTGGATCCAAGAAAAAAATCTTACACAACGGACTTTAAAGGGGGGAGGTGTGACGACGGACCACCGGTGAACTCGAGGAAGCTGTAAGAGGCTCATAAGGAGCCGAAGACGTTCCATCCAATCACCTGTCGGAAGAATGTTCTAGAATTCCAACGTGTAGCTTCCCCATTGGATAATGCTAATAACCCCTGTACGCGGATTGGAAGATTGTAATGATGATTTCGTTCCCACTAAAAACTATAAATACCTGATAATTTTGTACTATGTTTGACACTGTTTGGAATAATATTCCTTTCGTTAGTCTTCTGTCTTCTTATTGCGACTTGGAAGGGTTTGGTGTTCCAGTGCTCAGTTATACGCGGTTGTATCAAGAAAATCAGCTTTTTCAAGATATAACACAATGGACTGTACAATCTAGTAAATCTACTTACAGGGCTCAAAAAAGTGAAATCATAACATAATTTATCTTTTTTGTGTTTTTATATTAACTATTCTGAGAAATTAACTCAATATTCAAGTTCAAACTTATGTTTTCGATTTTAAGATACATCTTATGTGATGATTATCTGTGATACTATTCGATTAGCCATAGTAAAATAGATAGAAAGTTATATTCTAATGTAAATCCAATTGTTTAAAAGTTGGTCTTTTTTAATGTTAAGCCATGACTTCACCACGAATCTAATTGACCAATACTTTAATTTTTTCTTTATATTTTAATACCATTTAACCTTTTTTGTTATAGTACATAACTTTTACTGAATACTAACTGTTTAAATTTTATGTATGTACTTTTTCTTTGTAAACAATATAGAATGAAAGATTTGTTATCAAACAATGATATATTGAATCTTATCAGTCGTTTAAGTTGTTTAATTACAGATATCATTATCTATGGTTCACATTTATTCAAAACTAATAATCCTGTGAAACAATGTAATTCATTAAAACAATTATTATTCGATACTGGAAATCAATTTTTAAATATATTAAATCATCATAAATCAAAGGAAATTATGAATAATAAATTATTATTCATCTATATAATATGTTCAATTCGTTTAATTGCTTTTAATCCTAAATTAATTATTCAGTTTATTGGTAAATTACCATTGGAGTTAATAATTAAATTTATTGAACAAATAAATCATAATGAATTATTCTCTTATCTATGGCCATCCTCGTCGTCATCATCATCATCATCATCGTCAACAACATCTTCTATAACACACTCATTGAAAGATCTAATTGAACAATCTATTTCACTTGTAAATAACAGTAGTAGTAATAATAATAATAGTGATGATTCCGATATATCTGCTGAACTGTTACAACAATATACTCAAACATGTCAAATAATTTTAACTAAGCTATCATTGTAAATCTCTATTTGTTTAAAGATAATGATTATTTATTTGTACATTTTTTGTATTTATAAGTTTATAGTTTTGTAAATTTTTGAGTTTAGTCTTTGTACATAAAAGAAAAAAAGGACTAGTCATATTTTGCATGTCAGTAGACAATAAAAAGAAAACTACTACATATTTGTACATTCACACTATTTATTTGTACTGGATCTTACTTGCAATATGTGCTTTTATTGTTATATACATTTATCAAAATTGAAGAAATACACAAATTGTCTTATTGCAAGTCAGTTTCTGTGTTTACTTTTACTAATACATATATGTATGTGTTGCATGTTGAAGTGATGGGTCAGTGGTTAAAACATTTGATTTTCAGGTTCTAACTTCACTTCGCTTTTAGTTCGGTTTAAGCAATTGATTAGTGTCACTAGCTCTCATACTTACATATAGAATATTTTCCAAGCTAAATAAATTAATCTGTTTACCTGGTGAATGAGTTGAAGAACATTTGTATAATTAAAATGAGAGCTAATTTCAATTACTTCCTGTCAGCAGTAGCTTGATTTGCTTAATCATTTTTACTATTTACATTGAAAGTAAAATCTTTCCATTAAAGAAGTGTAGTATGGGATAGGGGAGTGGAGTGAGTGACTTATTAATCTGAACAATTGTTTTTTTAACCGGTACAATTCAATCTTGAGTCTAATAAACTTTCATAGCCGACTAGTATCAAGTATCATCATAAAAGTGAGTACCGTAGAGTCAAATATACAAATTTACGTTTGGTTACCGAAATGAATTAAGTCAAATAGTATTCCGTTTGGTTATCTGCGCAAACATATACATGCTGCTTATATTGTATTTCTTCAGGAGACCAGCATTTTAAGATCAGTTTCATCTTTGCCGATGAACGTATTAAGTTGCTATTCTGATTGTAGTAGATTTCAAAGGCTTCACTGACTACTGCTGTACTATTGTTGAATAGCCCAACCTCTTATGATTAATGATTGAACAACTACTGAATAGGTGAATGTTTGTTTGATAAGGCAAAAAATCAGTGTCTTACGAGATAGTTTCATAGTATAAGTCGTTACAAAGGTGAGTATTATTCTCAGTCCATACAAATATAAGAACGTTAGAAAAAGCTAAGGAATTGCAATAGTATTCAAACGTTTCTACTGAATTCAGTAGTTTACGTTGTTAGATGATGGAGATTAGTCGATCGGGAACCCTGCCTCCAACTGTTTTGCATCTGAGTAAATTCAATTAGACTAGCAGCCATATTGCGAATTGACAGATTTCTATCGATCAACAATGAAGAAGAACCAGACAAATATCACATCGGTCACATCTCAGCAATCAGTCAATTGTAGTTCACGTTTTTCAGTTAAATTTGAGCTGCGAACTATTTCCAATTTAAACTACTACCTAATATGAAATGTGTTTAGTTTTTAGTTAATTTTTCCCACACATATATGTTTTTCAAAAAGTTATTTTCCCCCACCTTAATTAAATTCAGACAATGGTGGTACCTTTGCCAGCAGTTGCGGAGCGTATGAACAATCCGAATAATCCAGTCGTTTTCTTCGATGTCACGATTGGTGGACAGGTAAATGTAGTCTTTAAATTCTTATTCTTTTTTCCGAATCATATTTCTTGATATATTTGTATAAGCCTATTATGTTGATCATTCAGTCATAAGCCATGTGGAATCTGACATATACATCGGTTCATGTTATCACACCATATCAACATAGTGCGATGAAATTGTTAAGGTAGATCTTAGTCTGAGTAGTAACAGTATTAGTGGTAGTGAAAGCGATTATGCACAGAAAGTTTACACAGTCCAGTAGAATAATGATTGTTATTGAGACTCAATGTAATTCCCGTAGCATTATCTACGTTAAGTTTTTATTGATTAATTGATTTTTAAATTTCATATGATTTCAGAAAACAAAACAGTTTGGTTGGATGGTTTTTGGAAATAAATTAAATTTGATGATTGTTTTTTTGTTGTGACCTTTATTCTGTTGTATCATCCACCTGATTGGTTCTCAGTACTATAGAACCTGCTCATTACAAGTTCGCCTACACCGATCAGATCAATAACTTTCTCTGTGATCACTAACACAAGCGACCACCAGCAATCACAGTGATCATATTTCCTGTTGATTCAACATAGTTCTTTCTTTTCCCCCAGTATCCAGTCAGTAAAATGAAAACAGTAAGCCGATATGGCTTTTATTATTAGGAGTCGAATACTCATAGAATCATATTAAATTAAGTACACAACCATAGTACGCTACATATAATGAATCAATCTGTACACAACTAAGTCACAAGTGATACAAAACGAGGCAACAACTATACAATTGTTTAAAACAATTCAGGAATCATAAAACGTATACAAAAAGTTAACAAGTTAAATGAAAGCTTATAATTACGGCAATATGAAAGTATCGTAAACCAAATGTTTACTAATTAAATAATAAAAATAAGCATAATAATTGACCGTGTAATAGTCTTTAAAGTTGCATCTTTTCTAAAGTATTTTATTCTGTGTAACAGTTTTCATCATAAACTGCTATTAGCTGGAGAACCATTGAAAATCATGATGCGCTGATGAATAGATAGTTCGTCTTTTTTGGGACCTATTAGTAATGTACAGTTTCATCAAATAATTTCCACCCTTACAGTATTACCCTGCGTACAATTCCTCGACATTATTCACTTGGTGAGGAAGGTGTTGAAGACACCTGTTGGATAAGTACATAGATTAGGTTCTTATTAACTTTTAAGTCTAATAATTTCCTGGTTGTTTCCAGTTTTTTATTTCTTTCTTTATAGGAAATCGGTCGAATGCAATTCGAATTATTTCAAGATATTGTCCCGAAAACTGTAGAGAATTTTAGGTAGGGATCATTTTGTATTCTTTTTACATTTTATTATTGAAATCTGTTCAGCATTACCGAGACATTTGTTTTTGCTTACTTGTTTTTTTGATTAAGAATTTAATATAGTCTTACTCAGTCGTCAAATAAAGAATCATGTATTCACTTTCAACTGAAGGACATATCAATATATATGTGTTTAGAATAGGTTGTTGATCACACTGTCCAGTTGCCGAGACTGAATTAGATATGCGAATCAGAACTGGGTTTCTCAAGGTCAGAAGTTTAGTGTTTTACCCAAACTGTTAATTTCCGTCATACTCCACAGATTTTACAAATCTGATGAAAGTCTGATTTACAAGGAGTATGCTGGTTTTCATTCAGATTGTGAATACACTGATTACATCTTCATTCTCCTGCAAGTGTTCAAATAAGGATTTTGATTCTCTATATCAGTGTATTCGAGTGTTTTAGTAGAGGGTTTACTGTCTATTTACTTTTAGTTAAGTAATTGTTTGTACTTTGTGTATGCCAAAAATATTTCCCACTAGTTCTCATTTCGGATACCTTTATGGCCATTTATGGTTCAATCTCTCGTGTCTAACAAATTTGGAACATGACTATTTGTAATTAACTTTACTGTTTATCTTGTGTCTTGATTTCCAATTACATAATAGGCAATTCTGTACAGGTGAATACCGTAAAGATGGTGTACCAACTGGTTACAAGGGGACATCATTCCATAGAATCATTAAAGATTTCATGGTACAAGGCGGGGATTTCATTAATGTAAGTTGATTCATATATTAAGTACTTTATTTTCAGCTATTTCTTTCAGTGATTGTAAGCCAGTGACTTTACAGAGTTTGATTATTTGAATTTTAACTTCTGTGTTACGCATTTGAGCTCTGTTTCATCTGCGTTAATTAAAACTGTAACTGAGTCTGTTCTATACGCCTAAGTTTATCAAAGTTCTTTTTTGTCGTAAAATATCACAATTCTATTGATGAAAGCTCAATCTGATTTTATTCCGTAACCGATAACTGTTTGGAAGCTTAATAAAGAATTAAAAAAGCTGTATTCACATACACCACATGCGATTAAAATAACATTAAAATAACTGGTATTAATTCATTGTTCACAACCACCCTCGAATTAGTGGATAGTTTTTCAATCCTTCTTCCTTTGAACTCCTCAAACCTGTCTATCGTACAATAATAGTAATAATAATAATAATTATAATAATAATTATTATTATTATCATTATTATTATTACTATTATTACTATAAATGACATATTATTGTTGTTTCACGATGAATATATAAACTCATAATTTGTTCAGTGATTGCCTTTTTAACAAGAATGAGTTCTAGTAATCATGTTATCATCAGTTTAGATTCAGGTTTGAATGTCGTTATAGCCAGAGATAATTTGTGTATCAGCCTGCTGTATCTTGATATATTTAGGAGAAAAAAAGTGTGCATCTAGACATGTTGAACACATATTTCGATAACATATGAACTTTTGTGGCCCGATATCTGACTCCAGTTTGATTGTATGAATGATCGTTGTCAAAATTATACATCCTGGCTATCTTCGTATATAATCATCGACTTATCTCGCGTTAGTGAATAACGGAATTACATAAGTCGAATACGAGAATGAAGTTTGAATGCTTATATTTCATACAATCGTTGATCTGACAAACGAGCGGAGAAGCGAAATGACACGGGGTGGAGAAGGAGTGTGAGCCAACTCAATCTGATCAAGCGTTAATCGATATTTATAGTCGCATAAAAATGAGTTCCAGACATGTAATGAATGGGATAAAAAGTGCACACAAATACGCTCATATGAAAGCAGTCAAGGTTGATAAGTGAATAATTGACAAGGTCAAAATGTGATTAAAGAAGAATGAATTAATTGGCTTGTTCGGAAACCAAAATAAACTATGTGGCCCGTATAGTAACCGATACTACAAAACCAACTACCCTTTCTTAAAGTATTTATAGTCATATTCTCAAAAGTTAACACTAGGGACAAAGGAAAAACAACAGTTGTCAGCCCCATGGGTAAAGATAGTACACCCCGTCGCATATATGTTAGCAAAATCAGATTTATGAAATAATGACCCATCGTCTTAGTGATTGTTAAAATACTTGAGGTGGGGGGGGCGAGGATGAACCACTATATTTGAATATATATGTGTCTGTGATATGTTTCTAACTGAACATGTTTTAATTTTCTTGCAAATTATGATCTATGAAAAAGTTTCTAACATTGTGTAAGCTTTATATATCAGTAAATATTCTATCATAACGAAAAGACAATGTTCGTCTAATTAATCGTTTTTTCAGGGTGACGGAACCGGATCGTTTAGTATTTATGGCGGTG